GAAAATCTAGTTGAGCCGACGAGATCCAGTGTAAGTCCCCAAACAGCTGTAAACGGTTTATCGTTAAGGTGGCTCACTGTTTATGGGACTCGTATAGCTGTCAAAGGCCATAGTGTAACCTTCCCATTACACGAATGMTCTTCAACGATTTCCAAGACCATCCGATATGGCTTAGTAACTCTTCTCTTTATAAAAGCATGTATTTTGAAAAGTACTGATCAAGCTAAAAGTACAGGATGCCGGCTATGCATTGTACTACCATTGACAAAACAAGCCAGGGAGACTATAAATCATATATTATTATATAATATTAAAAATAGTAAAACACATCGAGCCTCTGTGCCCTGCTGATCTTTAATTCTATAAATCCCTCCCTTCTTGGTCAACTTGACAAAACGTTACGTTATAAAACGTAAGGAACATCTTTACGTAGCTTTAAGTCTTCCCTATGATTGACATCTTCAATGACATCTTTATGGTATCTTTACGAAGAACGAAAAGATTGTATTTAAAGTATATGTAGCTTTAAAGCATCATCGTAAACAATCATCGATCGATCATATCAGTGATGTCTTTACGCGAAGTATCTCTACGCTCCTTTACTGTAATATTTTAGCGTAAATCCTTTAACGCTCCTCTACTCTTTATCGTAAAAATGTTTAAATCAACAATTTGGTGTCGTGTGATGTATGCATTACAATATGAAGTTTTGAGGCTGGCGGTGTTGACCTCTGGTTGGGACGGCTTCTCTTCCCTGGAGATCCTTCCAATATGGTGAGCTTGCTGAATACCAACCGAGATCAGGCTGTGAAAATCAAATATTAGAGCATTACGATACGAGTTGTCAAGGGTAACTGAATATCGCGGTAAAAAAATACCGTTGCTAAAAATATAACGGAACCGCATGGAATTTTGTATAAAACCAACAACATGGAAAACTTTAAAAATCACTCCGAAAGGAGCGAAAATCCGCAWTTTTTTCCAASAGACCCGTATTTTCTTTTTTTTYATTTCACTTTGTCGATCTTGTTGTTTTTTGTTTGCACTTTTTTTCTACACAAATAATGTACTTACGGTTTTAGGTTTGCCCGTAGTTTTGAGTGTRTTATCGTGTGCAGCTGCAACATCCATTTGTGCGATATAGTAAGGTTCGCCATTGATCAACGTCTTTCCACAACCAAGAAATTTTGCTCCTTTGAGAACAAGCTACAAACAAAATTATTTGCTTCACTATTTTTTTTTCTCTTATTTAAACAAGTTAAAAGGGGAAATTTTCAAACAAAAAAGATGCATTTCGTTCTGGTAGAAGAAAGTGAAAGAGGAGCCATTGAGGTTGCCTCTGGAAGATGGCACTAATACCAAACGACAATCAGCAATGCTCCATATTTAAACATAGCCGACCTTTGCATTTCTATTTTTTGAAAGTATACTCACAGACATGTCACAAATTCACACGTTACCTGTTTAAAATGATTAGTTACACCCWTTGTCTTTCCAGTTGTCCAATCAATGTTCTTCTCTTCATCATGCCATGCCTTAACCGCTGCGGTAAATGTCTTGTAAAATCCACCTACGGCAATTAACTCGCCTCCTAAACCTTGCCGAGCCCACGGTGAATGTCCGTAAGTCTTAGTGTCTCCCCAGTCTTGCGCATGCTTAGCGAGGGTTTGGCTTAGCTTCAGTGGGTTTGATCCATGGTTTTTACGGTACAAATTAATAGTTTCTAAGCATTCTTTTTGGCACGTACTATTGCATCCTATGGTCAAATTGAAATACAATGTTTATTTCTTAATCGTTATTATTATTTACTTCCTTTTAAACGAATTCAAGGTTCTGTAAAGAGCTATGTAATTAAGGAATAAAAAACAGTTTTCCGTGTATTATACTCTGATAAAAACACGCGGGATGTTGGGAGAACACGGGAGAAGCGTAGGAAACCACGACGCGAAGCTTCTCGATTGTTCTCTCCACATCCCAAGTGTTTTTATCAGAGTATAATACACGGAAAACTGTTTTTTATTGCTTTTATAAAATAACAAGCGCTCAAATATTAATGAGAAAAAAAAGCCGAGAAAAAAATGACGCGAGCTTGTATTATGCATGCTCTTATCAACACGGCTTTTTCGCCAATCAGAGCGCGCGTAATATGAAAGTTATTTTATAAAGACATGTATAAGAATAAAGCAGAACCTCTTCATTCCGGCCAGAGAGGAATGTGAACGCATGTATATGAACACAGCAGAACCTCTTTATTCCGGGCATAGAAGAAACATCGAAAGTTGTTGTATTAACGGGGTGGCCGTCACTAGGACTAAAAAATCTATTGCTTATAATGGAGTGGTCGTATCAAGGGGGGTGTCCATAATTCAGAGCTCCACTATACACCTATAATACTGTATATACTTATTCGTATTTTAACTATAGCTGAAATATGGCTCTGCTAAAAATTTTGTTATCAAATTAATACTGCGTAAAACAATAAATATCATCATTCTTTGGGGATTTCACAGCAWTATCATGCTATTTTTCTCATCTTACCTTTGGTAGAGACTGGRTTAACTGAACCTTAAATGAAAACATAAAAAGATCCTTGTTATCAAATGAGCAACGAGGTAGTAGTATTTTTCCGCTAAGTAAAGTTCTCYATTCAGATACACGTCAATTCGTATATTATAAATTTTAGTGAAACTCTATAAAATGTTACTCAACTAAGTCTCTCCGCATGAAGCTAGTTTTAGATAACTGGAAAATCAAACATGGATATATAGTTGCAAATTTACCTTTCTTTTCAAGGTTGCTCAACGAGTTCGCTTCCTGKGAATCCAGACTGTCAGTCATTGCCATAACATTATCTTGTGGATTTGGTGCGATATCATCATCTATGACCTCATTAGCAGCTTCTGCAAGAGATTCTTGTAGACTCTCTGGACCTTCTTGCTCTTGRGATTCTTGATGTGGTTTTTCAACATTTTCTCCCCCCGTTTTGGGACGCTTGAGGAAAGAGACCTTGGTTCCTTTGGGGAATCTCATCTCTGGAACCTCGTACGATTGCTGAGCTTCTTCRGAATCCGATGTTGTAACTAGGTATTGRCYRTCGGAATCAGYACGTGATAGATATTCAGGGCTGTTCTCCATAACTTTGCGGTCTTCAAWTGAAACGTCYTTATCAGTAATCTTTTGGGTTTCAGTCGAACTGTCATCGTTTCCTCTGTAGGCTTTCTGTGCTGATCCAATTTGGGCTGATGCAGAAATCTGTGGTTGTCCCTTTGAGTTWRCGGGCTTCCCTTGGTCACCTGACTGCGCGTACGCGTTGCTTTGGCGACCAAGTTTAGAGCTTGACTGCGCATGCGAATACGTCTGTTGCTGTGGWGATGGTGCTGGRTAGGCTACAGCATATGCACTTTGTTGTGTCGAAGAAGACTGGGTCTGAACAAATGTATTACCACCTTGAGCGTAAGCTGTGCTTTGCGGATTGGTTGCATTCCCCGTTTGTGCAGTGGCAACATYTTTTCCAGCTCCTGTTTGAGCATGCGCGAAGTTCCCCTCACTGTACTTTGAAGTTGACACTGTTGGAGTTTTAGGGTGTGTTTGGACTTTTGACTGGCTGTCTTTCTGTTTTTTGGTATATTTTCTCTCTGAAAGATTATATGATAGTTATAGAGCAAACGCAGGAAAACCATGAAATAAAAATAAAACTAAACACTAACAAATAGCAACTATGTAGAGACAATTTGTCAGTGAGCCAGAACGCAATTTTAAATTCATTTCAAATTTTTAATTCATCATTGCGTTCTGKTTCATTGATACTGACAATTTGTCTCTAAATTGCTGATATTTGTTAGTATTTAGTTTGATTTTATTTCATGGTTTTCCTGTGTTTGCTCTAGATTGATGATCTTAGAATTTGACAACGTATCAAAGTTCTTAAAATGAGAACATTAAACCCTTAAAACAAAATCTAACTGCTAAGGGGAAATATTCAAATAAACAGGACAAGAACGACTGAAATTAATGGAAACTGAGCGGGTTTTTTCCTGGCTCAAGTAGCAAAGTGTAAATTGCAGAATGTTCGCAAGAGAGAAATTTTGTTTAATTTTTTACGTCATTTACTTACTACAAAAACCRCAGGTTCTGCGACAGGCAAATCTCATCGACTTTTCCTTTCTCTGACAGTATCCTTGTGCTTTCCACCGAGGGCAACTGAATTCATACGTGGACAAGTCTTGGCAATCTATCACAAGAACAGTATCAGTAATTTCAACCAGTGACTTGACGAAGGTATATGGGAACTAATAATACATGGTCGACTTAATTTGTTTACAAACCATTTTTAAGAGAAGCTTCGTTGAGTTGGCTTGCTTTTTCGGACTGAAGTTGTACGCCTGGAAAAGCTGCCGAAATAGGAATCAAAAATAAATCTAAATATGAAAAATAATAAATAAATTGCTTGAATGATGCATGGGGTAAGCCTATGAAAATCATAAGGGTTTAATTATCGCATTTTTAAAGAATTATTTCCCATGTGTAACGTGTGTCTTTTACTTCATTTGCAAAGTTTGGAAAGGTAGAGATACGAATAGATGTTTCTGAGTATGTAATATGGAGCGCAAGAAATGTCAGCAGCTATATGTTTCAACCTTCTTGCGAGTTTCTTGACAAACCCTTTAAAGTTAAACAACCAGAACTTTTTCACTTTTGGTTCATATTATCAAGTTAATATTATTACCGCAATATCCACATGARCGTTTACAGTTTCTTTTCATAAAATCTGCATATTTGACATCTTTACAATGTCCRCGCTGTTGCCAAGACGAGCACCTTTCTTCAGTATCTGCACAGCCTGTGGAATAATTAGAAATATTTCATGGATATTTGATCTGGGCCAATCAGAGAAGAGCATGCATATTGCCCTAAGTTCAAGAGCAAAAACCTTTTAAAATGTACTCTGACTAAAGAAATTGTGACAAACTATTGTGGGATGAAGCAGATATTGGGTGGCTGGAGGTGATCGAGTATTTCTCGTTTGTTTGAGGCTTACACTTACTCATACTTACTTAAATGCATTTTTAAAGAAATCTCGGGCTGCATTCTTTGACCAGTGTGCTGCTCTACATACATACTGGAATCATTTTTGTCGTCTTTTGATTCAAGCGGTTTCGTAGTAAGGGGTTTCTGAAGACGGGTCTGTGTTTTCATTATCGATACATTTGTATGCAATAGCTTTTCTTTAGGGCTTCCTTCATTTAACCAAAATTGTCCGTGCTTTGGGTTTTTCGGAGATGTTTTAGACTCAGGCTCGTCCACCGGGACATGAGGTCTTCTAAAACCGTCATCTTGAGATTGGTGGTTTTTAAAAAGTGTTTGGATATCGTTTATTAACTCTGGTTCATCAACTATCAAGTTGGGATTCCTGAATTCGTCGTCTCTCGGTGGCTGAGGTGTCTTGGAGGTTGAATTTTGTCTGTCTACTTTCATTTTAGAATCTGGTGAGTCGATTCCCAATGCGAGGTTTATTCTTGATAATAACTTAGAAAAGGGTACMAATGGCTTTGGTTTCCTGTCACCCTGAAGACCACTTGAAGTGTCTGAACTACTCATGGCAYTCACATTTGAAGGACTTTGTTCTACTGTAAGTGACTCACTAGTGTTTTGTAGTTTGTTTTTCGAAAGATTATCATCGCTTTCGCTCTTTTCCTTCTCAAATATTTTCTCTTCTCCTTTGGCACTTTTTCCTTCATGTTGGTTGTTGACCAATTCATTTCCTTTTCTTCGCTGCTTGGCCTCATCTGCTCGATCTTGTGAGTCGTTTTCCTTTAACAAAGTGATCAGAGAAGGTCTATTTAAAGAAAATGGCATCTTTCTTCCCTGTTCATGTTGTTTGCTCTCATCTTTATCTTGTTCTTGGTTACTTGGATGCTGTACATTTTGTTGCACTGCCTGGACATGGTCATTACCTCCTGGACCTTCCTTCAGGAAGTGAGAATAGTCATCTKTTCGACCATCCATAGCCATTGTGGTGCCTGTTTGGTAACCAAAAGGTCCTTTAGTGATAACTACGCCGGGCCTTTGATAGGGAWTTTTGACTAAACTTCCATCACCCATTGAAACGCTACGAGACAACTTCTGTTGCTGATGTTTTTCAAAAGATGATATCTTCATCATKCCAATTTCCGCGTCCTTGTTACTCAAAGGGCGTTGACTCTGTGCTTTTGACCCTTCATGGATTTGATGTCCGACACCATTAGCCATATTATGCGGATCTTGAAATATTGGCTGTCTTTCAGGACGTTGGCCAGGGACTTTTTTGACTGGCCTTGATAAAAACTGTTCATCCATTTTGTTTTGCAATATGGTTTCTTTAGATGAATCAGCTTGCTTGTKGCTATTGGKGGAAGATGTTAGTAAACTAACAGGCTTTGTGTGGGAAGGAGTTTGCTGTTTAWAAGAGCTGGAGGGTACGGTATTTTGRTCATCCTCATAACTGCCGGTWAGGTGGTCATGGGAAAAATCTTCATTGAAGAAGCCAGGTTGGTTGTCGTTGTTCTCATCTGCGTGTTTGTTTTGAAAAGCCTCTTCATCGTCCATTATTTCAGGCAAATATTGAGCTGAAACCTTCTCAGTACTTTTAGCCTTACGGAGTTTAATCTCTTTTGGTAGGTCTAGTAATTTATAATAATCTTTAGGAATGAACATACCACCATGCTTGTTGTTTCTATAGGCTAAAGGTCTTCCCGGTGTTTTATATGATTCAAGAGCAAGTTGYTCAAGTTTCGAGTGCTCTGTGGCATCCTGTCCTTGCGAAAATGATTTCGAGTTCTTCTTTTCAAATATCTTTCGTGCTTTTTGTACTCTGCCTTGCTCGGGTTCTCCACCAGTGTATTTTTTGCGGAATTCATAAGATCCTGGTTGCATATTCGCAGCTTGAGAAAAGTCGTTATTGTTATCATATGGAACTTCTTGCATACCGTACCARCCCCCTCCCATTCCTGGTCTAGTGTTTTGAAATGGCAATGGACCGTTATTKTCTGTATTCGATGGAATTGGTTGTCCAAAGCCGTCATACTGCCATCCATGGAGGTGGTTGAAGTCGTCCACTGTTACCATATCATTGTCTCCATCATCTTCCTTGTTGTCAGCACTCTCCTCCTCCTCGTCATCACCACTGTCCTGGTAAATGTCGCTTTCAGCTGGTTGAGGTGGATGTTTCTTTTGTTTTTTCTCCTTTTCTGTATTTTTCAGGTGTATTTTCCAAAGCTCTGAAACCTTATTTTTAATTTCCTGGACATCATTATGTTCGTTTTTGGTCATATTAGTTGTRGAGTTAGAAGGGGCACCAAGGGGCATCCATACTTTAGCAGGGCGGGCATTTGGGTCATCGTTATTCTTCTCTTCTAACCTAATGGCTACGTTGTATTTATCTTTTGTATTATTCTTGCTGTCGTTTGGACTTCTAGATAATGGTTCTTTGGATTTTGTCAAATTTTTAATTTTTGTATCTATTAACTGAGCAACTTTTGACAGCTCAACCTGCATGTCTGGTCTCAAGTTGTCATCACTTACAATGTTACTATTAAAATCTTTTGAAATACTTTTATTGAAGATATCGAGTTCGGAATTTTGTTGATTGTCRGAAACCCTTCCYAGAATTAGGCCAGACATCTCCTGTAGATGTTTTATAGAAGAAGTTTCAACCTGAGGTGATGGATTTGGYTTTTCTTTTGAGGGTTTGCTTTTGTGGCGTATTTTAGCAGATTTTACGAAAAAAGGTTTTCGTGTCTTTKTATCTTGAGAAGCATGCAGCTCCTTGAGTAAAGTCGGAAAAGGCGCAGAGTGTGTAGTTCCGGACTTAAATGATTTAGAACTCGGTGCTGTTTCCATAGGGGTTTGCTTTTTACTCGATGGTCCAAAACTTGAAAATTCAGTTTCTTTATTTATGCGTTCAAGWGAGTGGTCAGTTTTTTTAAAGCCTTGTGAATCAGAAGCGTTAAGTTTTTTTGAAAGCACCAAAGAAGATCCATTCATCTCCCTTCCATTATCCATAGGTTTCGGTGCTTTTATCTGTGTTTGTGATTTCTGCCTTTCACKGGATGTTCCAAAATTCGAAAATGCTGACTCCGGAGTAATGRTCTCCAAAGAGTGACCTATTGTTGTGCTGTTTTGTGAAAGCTGAGATGCTGGTGTAGTTGACTGCTCACTGCTATTGCTCATAGAATCTAGCGCATTTTCCAACAGACTTTGCTTCCATTTAACCATGCCTTGACCATCTCTTGATTTTGTGCTATTTATTTTAGTGTCATTTGATTTTAAATATCCCTTCACGTCCATGTTATTGTTTGGTTCATGWCCTTCTTGTACCTTTTCTATTGTGTTTTCAGTATTATTATGCTCTGGAAGCTCACCTTCATCTGATGTTTGTTGGTTATCTAGAAGWTTTTCTAATGGAGAACCAAAACCATCCAATTGATCTTGTAAATGAAACATCTCTTTGTTCTCCTCGTCGTAGAGCTTAGTCAGTGAATCAGAGTTKATGTAACCTTTGATGTTGTTCGAATCATTGAGTATTAGTTCCTCGTTTTCCTCCTCGTCGTTGTCGTCCTCCCTTTCTTCTTCTTGTTGCGGAAAAACGAACGATTTTGGAGAGCGCGTTGTGTTGGTTGCGTTTCGGTAAAGTGGTTTTCCAACGGCCGACATTGCCGTGATTTCAAACCAATGRAGATCTCTCTGGAGAGAATAAATTAAGTACGYCTGTGATACACTGGTTGAAACATGAAACGTCCATTAATGTATAAGGTTATATGCCAACCTTAAGGCCGAAATTAGATGATACAACGTTTGCCTRGAACCATCGCATGCAACCTGCGTAAGTCATCCTTACAGCATGGCTACAACTGTTGTAGGGCTATTAAACAATTGTTTTAAATCCCCACGACAGTTGTACGTAGCAATGTTTTAAGGATGGCTTAAAGGGCTACTTGGACGAAMATTGCGAAACATTAGAAAAGACTATGGGTCTAATAAYCATGAAGCAACAGATTTTAAGAAAATATTGATACAAATCCTTAATAATTTGKGCAAAAARTGTTGGAGTAGATGACGTCATTTACTCCATCCTTTTGTTCTTCCATCTTTTGAATCAAAATTTCTCTGATGTGGGATAATTCCAAAAAAAATATTTTCCCGCAATTGTTTTTAATAGATATATGTGAGTCATATATTTGTTTGAAATAAGGCCATTTTCATGCAAGTAGTACTTTAAGCAGGTTGCATGGTTTGGTTGTAGGCAAAATGTGTGCCGTCTAATCATTCGGCCTGTACACATCTTCTTACCTCCCTTGGTGCTCCTACGTTTTCAYTTCCTCTTCTTTTGAGRTTAAAGCTGCGAACCACATCGGCATCCATCCAAACAACGTAGTATCGCGATCCAAACAATGTACCTCTTCCACAGCCAGCCTTGTGAGCTTTTTTCCATACCACTTGTGTAAAGTCGTGCAAATTTCGCCCATTTTTCGATTTTTGTCTTACGAAATCATAGTCTTTTTCTTTATCATGCCAGTATTTGATCGCCGCAGTGAATGATGGTAGTTTATGTTTAACGTCCCATTCRATAAGCTGACCATATTTTCCCTGGGCATTCATGTCATAGCCAAATTTCCCGCCATCWGCCCATTTCTGAGCTTTGGAAGCCAACTCTSTAGAGAATTGCAACTTCGGCGCGTCGTGATTTTTTCGGTATTTATTGAGTACGTCTAAGCATTCTTTCTGACATTTCCTGTTACAACCTTAAATAAAGAAAGTTTACAAAGCGATGAATATGTCAGTACGTTTTGCTATTGCTATGGAATGCAATCATGTGAGCATAAACTACCTTTTAGTCTTCCAGTCGATGCAGATGCAGCTGTGTTTATGTCAATAAAAATCAAAWACATGTCAGAATCATTACTCGAGAGCATTTAAAGTCAACATCAGCTAGCGTTCTCTCTTTTTTTCTTTTTTGAATGGGCACTGATATGCAGCATCGCCGGTAACAAGGCATCATTGGATATGCAACACTCGTTTGTGTCCGCAAAAACAATCAACAATCTCAATAATTATAGAAAGGTAAATCTATAACTCAATTTATTTTTAATAAATGCGCAGTATTGTTTAGATTTTATTCAAATCCAGCTGCGGAATTGCAAAAGCGCCGAATACATTCACAGTAATGCCTTTAATTTGTCATGGAAAATGGTGTCGCTTGGTAGCAAATTGGTCAGTATTCTATGGTGTCCTACGAGAAAATCCTCAGACAACGATTATGTATCCTAATTTTTCGGAATGSCTTCCTATGTAATTTGGAGCTATGGCGGCAGCATCGCATGCCATTTCTACAATGCTTGATATTTTGCTAACTATTTTAAGACTGATAAAACCAAATAGAGTGGATTTCGTACGACTGTTTAAGGCATGGCGTGGAACCCCGCCTGTTAGAGATGCCAAATGAAAATAGTGATTCAAGAACRCACATCACAACTACGGCAATGTATACGGTCAAGACACGAAAGTGTCTCACTGTTTTGTTTTGTTTTTTATTTATTTTTGCACAGCCATATAAGCGAAACCCGCCTATAATCCATTTTCGAATTCAAAGCGAATAACCGCTGCTTTATTTGACAGCATATTCTCTTGCGCAAACATCTTACCAAACACAAAAGAGAGCACGAGAAAATGTTGTTATTACAACAGCCTTAAAAACGTGCACTTTCTCCGAGTTGCGACTTACCCTGTATTCCCATAAGACCTAAGGTATGAGCCTTCTGGGAATACAGAGTTAGCCTCAACTCGTGGAAAATGTAAATTGATAGTGCTATTGTACTTACAACATTTTCTCGTGCTTTATTTTGTGTTTGCAAGGTCTTTGCGTAAGAGAAACTGCTGTCAAATGGAACAGCGGCTGTGCGCTTTGAATTCGAAAATGAAGTGTTGCACACGATACAATATATTAAACTGCCATTTAATGTGTGGGATATCATCGGTGGTATATCAATATTTTGGAAGTTGCCTGACAAGTTGCCTAGGTGTACTTTCTAGAAAAAAATATCAGCGATTGTATCCCATAATTCCTGAAGAAACTTTSATACAGATATGAAAATTGGGCACGGATTTTGCAAATAGCTTTTGGAGATTCTGAAATTAAATGACAATGATATAATTTGTACCACTTACCTGTTATTACCGTAGCGAGGACTAAAAGCATCGAAATACTATCAAAGCCTCTTGGAACAATTCTTGTGTTTTGCCAAATACTGCGGATTCCCATCTTASTGGCATCAATGTTTATGTTTCACGCTTTAAAGAATGGCAATAAATTCGCATTTAAAATATGAAAAACGCGTTATTTCACTGCAGTCAAAACATTGAATAACAAGGTTGAATCGGTCGGTACATTGGTATCTTAAAGTCTTATCTTTGATACTTTATCTACCTCTTGAGTCTTCAAAAAAGGTCTCATCTTTGTTTAWTCTTTTTTTCCTGGTGTAGATGCCATTTACTTTGTATTTAGCTTCGTTATAAGAAGATTCATCGGTCAAAAGATCGTTTTGAATGAGTTCAACTTTGTGGGGTGTTATTWATTGATGAGTGTAACGCAGTTAAACATCAATAGACCACATGCATCTTGTGATCACTTGGTACCTTTTGTCARAAGTTATCTGTCATGATATAAGATACGCTAGTACAACGCAAAGTGTTTTTTCTTGTGTTCAAATGTATACTTGCATAGGAGAGTAATAACTAAGAAAATTTTCTTAGTTTTCTTCGACATCATTCAAAAGAATTATAGACCACGTGATTGAGTTTTCCTGGAATTCGAATAGATTTTTGATATATTTTTCTGCTTGTAGAGCTTAAAACAACAAGAACATTTCACTTTAATTGCCTTTGAACTCAAAAGTCATTTCTCTAAACTGATGTAGGGCTATATGTATTGYACGTACATGGGTACATCCAGACATGCTTAAGTTTGGATGAGCGATTAATTCATCAATATTCAATGTGATTATCACTGGAAAATCTCAGTCTTTCACATACTATGTAAATATTTTGGAAATTGTATTTACAAACAATCTTTTCACATTTCCAAAATATCTACATTGAGTACGAGGAATAATTTACAAATAATTTACAAAGTCTTTTGGAAATTTACATAGTATGTAAAAGTACCTTGGTCCTGTAAAATCAATTTTACAGTCTGTTTACAAACAATTTACACATGATTTACACAGTATGTAAAAGTCTGAGGTTTTCCAGTGATATTATACTTCAAAAATCAGTTGACTGCACAGCATAAGCGGTTACCACACCAGCTTTATACCCAACTGTATCACTACAAGTGCCGGCCAACGTGTCGGACCGCGGCTTTATTTAGGTCTGGGTTTCATTCATGGCCCCGGTATTCTTTCTCACCAAGTGTATAAATGGGTCCAGAATTGTTAGGYAAACCGGACATGCTATTCGATTGTTGTATTGTATTGTATTGTATTGATACATGCTATAGAGCGGATTTCGTATGAGTGGGAAACGGACGGTACTGTACTGTGTCCGTAATCGTACTGTAACCAAATTCTAGTGCCCCATTGTTTCACCAAAATTCTGCAGGCCAGGTGCGGTAACTGTGCGGTAACCGTGCGGTAACGGTGTCCCACTCATACGAAATCCGCTCTATGAAACCAGAGTTACGCATACGGCGCGATTTTATCACATCCAAAAAATTGCCATCTTTGATTATGAACCAATGTGCAAACGGCTATAAACTTGCTTCATCATTTTTAAAACAAAACAAACGATCACAAAGGCTCACGGATACACATGGGTTTTTAAGCGTTGTAAATAGTAAAACACAGGCTGGAGGTCTGGTGGCTAGTGATAAATGCAGCCCATAAATGTATGAATTCATGAAATATTGCCTGAAATCATTTTTATCTACCTTGAATATCACGAACTAAATTTGGTTGTGTAAGGAAAAGCTCATTTCTTGATAATAGATCAGAAATGTGAAAGAAATGGAATTTCACAGATTAACCGAGTTTTTAAGATGACAATTATCGGCAAAGATTAGGCCTCTTGTGATACCAAGAACCCTAAGGATTCTGGGTTAATTGCAATAGAATGGTAGACCAAAAAGCCGACTAGACTTGTTCCGCCCATAGGCGAAGCGTGAGAAGTCACTCGATGTCTGATTGTTATTAGCAAATTCCACTGGTTTTCGTCTATATCTAAATATTAGATATGCTTTTGTCGGGTTTTGCTGTTATTTTCAGGACATCCCTCATTGAAGTAAAGATTTTTTTATAGTTTCTGTGATCATTTCAAGAGCACAAGCAAAACTCTCATTGTGGACCTATCACAAAAGTGTTTTCAAGTACCTGGGTCAGGACWAGTGACGCAGAGCAAAGAAATCGGTGATTTCATTAAATAAATCATAGCCTGCCATTCACTCTTTCGTCATTTACGGTGATTCGATTCGATAAAGTACTGAGGAAAAAAGGAAAAAGTTTTCACCTTTAGCTGTTTACGTTTYSGGGTAATTTAGCAAAATATTAGCTCTTTAAAAAATGCTAAGATAAGCGAGCATTGAGGTCTGGTTTCAACGATCRAAAACAAAATTTTCTGATGGAGTAACTGAACTGAAACGTCTTCAAAATGGCTGGAATAAATGCACTGAGAATTTTAACAATAGTGACGATCTTTTTGTTATCTTATTGCGAAAAGGTYGACAAAAAATCAGGTAAGAAATTCAAATTCGAGTTTTATGTGTTTAGAGCGCGTTCATGCAATTATGCCAATAATATTTGTAGTCATCACCCTTAAGAATCATCCTTGGTCAGTGTTGAATAAAAGATAGTTGGCAATTGAAATATTTTGAGTGAAAATAATGTTATCCATTTTTAACGGCTATCTTGAACTTCAAAAAAATGTGTGAGGGAGAATTTTCATACTTGCTGTTAGATAACCTCCTGTATTTCGATTGGACTCTCATATTTTGGATTGGATACCTTTATAGCTTATGAAGGATTTCTTTCAAAATGATGCAGAAATTACGACAAAATTTTCAATTCTGTAGACTCTACTTTCATTCATTAAGTTTCTCTTTTCTATTTCGAAAACGGACTACGATTTACACCAGATCATGTAAGATCACCTCACCGTTATTTTCAAGGAGCTAACATTACTCCAAAAGAGTAGTTTTCAAACATGGTACTAGATATTACCTTTTTTGGACTACATTTAATCCCAGAAATTTTAACTGCACCTGGARTAGTGATTTTGACTCCTCTTCTAAGAGCAATTTTGAGCCCTTTTTGGAGTAATTTTCACACTCTTTCTGAGTTGATTTAAACCTGTAGAGTACAAGCTACTCGCATTGTAGAGTAGATTTGACAACATGTTGTTTGATGTTAAATCCAACAATAATATCCAAACATCATCAAACAAGATTGGCGAAACGCCTTCAAACCCCATACAAAATGTTTGATGCTCCATCCATCCAACAAATTGTGAAATGTCTAGTCGCCCAACAATGCTGCGATGGTGCAGCGGGTGATCAAACATTTCTATTTTTTTCTTATTATATAAATTGGAGTTTTCACGATTTATTGTAAATTTTTAACATGTGCTTTCTCTCAATGTGTAATGGTTAAAATGCTTTTAAATTTSGTATTTCAGCTATAGTTGCTCGCCATCATACTGATAAATGTGCGGACTACGGAGCAGTGTCCAAGAAGTGCCACATGTGGAAGGACTTAGGCTTTTGCTTTAAGCATCGTAACGAAATGCAGTATGTTTGTAGCAAGACGTGTAAATTTTGTGGTACGTGCATCTTTTAAACAAATGTCGCGCTGTAACTTAGCAATGCATGATCCCAGCATGCACTTAAAATGAGGTCTTTGGATAGATAAAAGGTTAAATTCTTCGCAAAAATACATTGACATTCCAGCTATTAAATATTCTGGGGCAGGTAGTTCGAAGGTTGTATAGCGCTATCTACCGGATGAGTCCTTTTCCAGCACCTATATATACGATCTGTGCAATTTGTGGCACTATCAAGAAAATCCTTTAAGTTCTGTAAAGTGTTAATCATGTGTCAGCCCTACTCAAGCTTAGAAATTCCCGGACTAAGGGTAGCTTAGAAACTTTAAGAGTCGGAACCTGCAGGCTAGTCTAAAAATCAAGTTCTTAAAAGTGTAATTATTTGAAAATTTCCTGTAAAGTGTTTCAAACGAATAACGTCTTATTGTTATTCTCATTTAAGATCCTAGTGTMACTCATTGGACTTACACTGTCGCACCAGACGAGAATGCAGAAACAAAGACTAACATTGCTTATGCAAAACTGAGTCCCACACTCGAAGTGATGGGCAAGAAGAAGGCACTTTACCTCTCCAGTAAAGATATAGCTGGTATGCTGCAAACTATTTCAGACAAGCCATCGCCTACACCTCAAGAGCTTGCTGTCATACAAGGCAGAATTCAAAAGGCTACTCCAACTGCAACTCCTAAAAGAGCAAATAAAACATTGGCTCAAATCCCTCAGGAAAAACCCCTAGCGAACGTTGGAGGAAAGGTTCAACTTCCACCTGTTGAGTTTATTGAGGATAAAGACGATAAAAGCAGTGAAAAAGATGGAAAAAATAATAAGGAAGATCAGCAAAATGACAGTGAAAAGGCGCAGGAGAARCTAACAGTTACAGGAAACAAAGAAATCGATAGCAAGCTTCTGAATCTTATGAGTACTCTTGCTCGTGTCAATAACGAAAACAAGCCGAAAAGTAAAGAAAAAGAAACCAAAACACAGGATACAGAAAACAAACCGAAAGAAAAAGAAAAGGAGGTCAAATCTCAAGAGAAGGACAACAAACCAGAAGATGGAMAAAATGCTCAAGACAACAAAGAAAARCCTTCTCAACCTGGGATACCTCAAAACTTGCAAATAGCTATTCCAAAYCTCTTGAAAATACTGGAGAAAATAAACGGCAAGTCTGTTACAAAGAGTGATTCCAAAGCGAATAAGACAATTCAACAACAAAGTAATACTGCAAWTGAAGTTAAGCCACAAAGTGGAAATAAGGACCAACAGGTTAACGATAAAACCAAAACACTTCTTGCAGCAATGAAATTAGTACAATCAATCGGACCTTTGCCTCAGAGTACTCTAAATAACTCAAATCTAATGGAKCAACTCARGGTTGCAGCAGAAGAAGCTAGCGTCGCTATGAAACTCTTGAACAAAACGGGGATACCAGACAAAGAAAAGGACAAACCTACAACAGTGACAGATGGAAACATGAGCTTCAACGTACAGCTCCTTCGAGATGAGCTCAAGAATAGTTTAATCAAACAACCCAGTGCGTTAGAAGCAGCCCCTAGTACTGAAGGAAATAAAAACATCGCTGATACAAGTGTGGCTTCTAATCAGCCACAACTCAATTCGTTTATCAGTAGCTTGCAAGATGCCATAAACGCCCAAAAAGGTCAGCCCAATGCTGCCACATCAATTACCGGTAGAGGAGGYGTAGCCGTTAAGCAAACAGAAGGAAAGCCAACACTGTCCGAGGTATGATGATAAACCATTTTCCCCAAGGTTCGGTCACACGAAGGTTGTGTCTCCCCCCGKGATAAGGTTTTCCACAACGTACATTTTGTGTAGATTTTGTTTGCTGTATAGCCATTTATACGGTGTGATGGYGCTAGCTTTAACCTTTGTACAACAGGTTATAGATATACGTCTACTCTCTGAATAGCACAGTGGTTGTCAGGGTTCTATACCTCTGCACCACCACCTCGACTTAGCGTTTACACTATGAAGGGCACAAGTCAATGAGACCTCGCATTAAATAATACGGCTACGTACTATGGAAGTTGCGGAGTGCTTATACTGTGTTTATTTTGCAGACCCAGAGAAATCCATACAAAATTCATGTGTAGGAGTTATGTCTAACCAACCCTTCTTACCACCCATCCCTTGTTTAAATCTTTTTGATCACTCTCAAACAAAGTATAGAAATTGTCTTTATAATTTCGTCATTTTTACAGTGATTTGTAATAAACTGGCGTTGTTGTTTTTCAGGTCATTCCATTTGATATTAAAGTCGACAGCAGTGATGACCGAGCTTCAGTTCGGTCCAAAGACTCCAAAGACTCCAAAGACTCAAAGAAGGAAAAACAGCAGTCTGTTTTTGAAAGCGATGAACAAAAGATCATGAACATTTTGAACGGTCTGGACCAGAATAACCCTGGAAAATACTTCAATGACGACAATGGTGAAAGAGAGGTGGTAACGGAAATACGATCAGCGTATGACGAGCTTGGAGAGATCATCAACGGGGTCGAACAAGATGAAAGCGAGAGGAATGTTAAAGAGGATGACCAAGGAGAAGATGGAGAAGGAAAAAAGACAGGAAAAGAYAAAAGCGACGRGGGAAAGAAGAAGAAAAAAGATAAGGGGAAGAAAAATAAGAATGGCGACGACGACGGCGAGGGAGATGACGAAAGTGATGGTGACGATGGATTCATCAACGACGAAGAGGAAAACGACGAAAGTCCTCTAAATGATTCAGTACGCAAGAAGAAGAAAAAATCCAAAAAAAGAAAGGATCATTTAAACAAAGTCTTGTTGTACATTAGAAAGGCCGAAGAGCATCTCAAACTGATTGGAGGCAAACGYGYAAAAGGCAAGAAGCAACAGCCACAAGATGCAGATGCTGATACTCGTCAAAAGAGTAAAACCGACTGGAAAATGTTAGCGACCAAACTAGCACGACAACTTGGTCTCGTATTGAAGAAGATGGCGGAGAAAGACCAGAAGCTCCTTGCTGAAAAGAATCGACTTCAAGGAGTTCTTGCGTCTTTGGCTCAAACACAGAGAGACAGTGACACGGCCGAAAGTGATGATGGAGAAGAGGAATCAGACGATAGTAACGATGAAGACAGAAGTAAAATCATCCACARCATGGCAACAAAACTACTGAATTTCAGCAGAACAGTCCATGATGCTCAACGCTACAACCATTTGCGAACGCCCAAGAAAAAGAAAAGAATTCTTCACAACTTGGTCTCAAGATACCGAAACTTAGTKGGGAAGATTTTGACAAACTGGATGAAGYTAAAAACCAAAGGAAAGAAAAAGAGTGGAATACCGAAACAAGGAAAGGGGCTCAAATCAGCGAAACGCGGCGAWATCGTACGACACAAAGGAAATAAWACAACAAATGCCACTCATGTGAATGTTGCTCCAAAAACATTGAAAATACAACCAGTCAAAACAGAAAAGAATGAGAAAMGAAAGAGTGTTCCTGGAAAGGCCGCGWCAAAAGCTTCGGTTGTGTCCACCAAAGCTAGTGCTGTGACAGATGGAGAGCAAGATGTCATAGAAGTCGCAAACTAAAGAAATTGATGCCGACTGGTTTTTGGATTATTATCTAAAATGAGGAAAAAAATTGGAATTTCATAAGGCACATAGCTGATATATGAAATAATTCACGTTTCGAAATATGGGGGTGAATTTTGGGAAGACGTTAATAAATGGGGCCAATATTAGCTGAACTTCACGTTTTAGAGTGTAAACCAAGAATATCATTRCGAATTTTTCACAATAGAAAGCTTGGAAGTTAAGTTCAAAGATTATTGAAGCACAATAAGATGTTCGGCAAAAGGCTTGATATTCAGTCCCTCAGTGGCGCTGTTAATTCACAATCCAAGTTTTCCCTACTATTCTTCTTTACGGAGMTTCGCATGAGTTCGGTAGATTAACTCCCGATCACTTTTCTTGTCATGGGATCCGTTTCTCGATTGCTTCACACTGCATCAAGTTTGTAACTAAGCACTAGTGCCTTTTTGACTGAATTTCGGAATGGTAAATTGTATTATTTGAACTATATTGATATACTATACAGTAGATCCCACAGCACATCTTAAGAGCAACACTCGACAGTCYTCCAAGTATGTAATGTAGATAAACTTTGAAGAAAAAACATAATAAAATTAATTCATAAGATTAATCATTTTAAAATATATCATTCATAAATATTGAAATAAAATTATAAACATAAACATTAAAATAAAATTATAATTTATACACTCAAACAAGGTTGAATGTGCTTTTATTCTTGAGGGAAATTTTGACAACTTCGAGTGTTCATAAATTCTTCCCAAGCTTATAACAGCCTTTACAGAATAAAGTATACGACTAGATCAACCGAAACTTAACTTTTTCAAAACATCATCATTTTTATGATTTTTCAATATCTTTTATATTTTTACGAAAATAATAGAAATTTGATAAAATATATCTCGTCTTTTTCAAATTATAGAGATTTTGCGCCGCAGCACTTTTGAGCCKCCATATTTACTTTAGCTTCCTCACCTTAGCGAAATCCATAGCGAAATCATTTCACAATAAAATATTTAAACTTCCCTATCATCTAGCATGGTTGGCATCGTATGACAGTTTAGAACTCCTGTTGATAAATATCATTAAATCTATCAAAGTTCTTCTTTTGATTTTTGTATATCGTCGGGAACAGCGGGAGTCGTTTCGGTGTCACTGACATAGCCTTCATCGCCGATATAATGAGTTGGGTAAAGCAACAATGGCTCTGCTGTCATGGCAACAAGATTTCTTGGATTGAAGTGGCTTGACCATTCTTTACTAGAAAAGTAAAAGTATATTTGTTTGGTATGTGGTACYTCATTATTCTTGAGCTAAATGCTTCATGTACGACAGGCGTCATGTTACCAAGATGTAACATGTTCATTAAAATGGCAGTGATTCCTTTGTCCTTTAAATTTCATGACATGTTCTTGGCCACATATGTTTATACAGCAAGAAGAGGAATTGCTTAAACATTCTTTTCAGGTGATACGTAAGTCTCCTTCATGGTTCCCTGCGCCATCTTGAAAGGTAACCATGCCTTTGCATCGGAGAAAAAGGACTGGTGAGCTTGTAAATKATACTGAGATACCTGTGATTGCTTGTCTGTAAGTGTGAAAGAAGGTTTCAATCATTGCACGGTCACCGRTCTTATTGCTTCAATCCAAAGGCTMRGTTGTCTTTCTTGATGATCAAGACCATGAAAACAACGATCTAATTAAGATTTACAAAATAATCCACAACATCGAAAAATTACACTATCAAGATGTCTGCCTTAATTTATTGCCATGAAAATCCTTGAAAAGCCTGCGTCACATSTACAATAGCTCTTTCTCTGTTAGATGCGCCAAATACGAACAAGACGTTTTGTGACTGAAGRCAGTTTAAACTTCCAGAATACACAAGGATGAAGACAAAACTTCAAACATTTACGTACAGGAGATAGGACAATGTGTGATCATAAAAAGACGTTAACATCAATRCCCCCTGGAAGACATTTAGAAAATACATTCGATCGACTATTAAATTCAGCAATTCATCGATATTCCTGAACAAGAAATTGAAAACGGGCATGAAACCATTAAWATTCGTTGAGTAACTTACTTAGGGTGACGGTCATACATAACTGGAATGAACTCATCAATAGCCATCATTTTAGTCAAAGGTTTGGCCGACATCAATTTCCGAGCACCTTGGAGATTAATCATGTACCCCAGAGTCCACCAGGTGTAATTGACCCAGTTTATGTATTTCGAACCTTCCACAGTACTCATCAATTCTGTCTTCATCCTTCTGCGTCCTAGGTAACTAATACCAAATAAAATAAAATAAACAAAATATATATTGAAAATCCCTACGCACTTACATGCTGTGTCGATTGTACATGATTGGGAGAAATTCGTCCACTGGRAGTATTCTTTGCAGTGGTTTTACTGATATGAGTTTACGTGCACCAGATAATGAGAGCATGTAGCCTATGGTCCAGTAGGAGTAATCAGCCCATGCAATATGACTATCGTTTGATAGTAATTCAGACGAGTCGTTGAGAAATCCCTTACGCCCAAGATAACTGATATAAAGTGTAGCATGCGCTTTAGCTTAACCCTTTGACATGCATTTATGAACGCTTGTATTGTATTTTGTAGAATGTATGTGGTAATCCAAAATACCATTAATTGAAATACTATGTTGGTGAGCATACTGTATATACATGATTGTACAACTAACATGCAAATCAACCCAAGAGAGGGGATACTCCATAATCAAAGAGGAAGGGAATGCTCTGAAAAAAGAAATCCAAGTCCTATGTTGAAAGGCACGGTAGACACACGGTACACTTTCAAGGGGCTAATTGACAACTAATCTCAAGCTTCAGTAGATTCTGGATTATATTTCCATACCCTCTTGCAGCTCATCATGACGACGAAAATCAGCATTACTGTTGCAGTTGATGTGCATTTGTATTCATTCACATACTTAGAAGGTCCAAAACACGAACTTTAGCCCCCAACAGGACCGCAAGTATTCTCAATCTCTTTCATAGCTGAGTACCCACCCCYGGGTATACTACATTTAACGTATGGGTTAGGCATGCAATATTTAAAAAGTTATTTGTAATGAATGCAGTAATATAAGAACACGTGCAAGCACCATTAATAAGTGGTATATCCAATAGCATAGGCGTTTTCGCATGCATTTATGAATAATGAAATATGCACTTATAACAAGACTAGTATGCAGTCTTAATTTATGAAATGTCTTTCTGTTAGTTCAGCAATGGCATTCTTTTGAAACTCTGATGATCAGAATATGAAATACAATAGACACCCAGACTGTGAATGAGATTGTCAATCGTCGATTTKCATACACTATATTTTTGGGTAAATATTGTATACTTACATAAAATCCCAAGTGTGTTTTGATTTAATTCTTTCAGCATCAACAAGAAAGGCTTCAAGTTTTTTKCGAAAGTTAGGTTGAAATCGTATGTCGTCCTCAAGTACCAATACGTTCTTTAAACCATTATTGATCATCTACAAATAACCAAATTTCTTTTAAAAACGTTACAAATTTTATGTCAACAGCTTTAATTTTGTAGGATATTCAGATCAGGTTCTGTAGGATTGCACGGAAGTGAGGAACATCAGTGTTATATGCCATTGCCATGATCTTTTTGCAACGAATAGTGTTACTACCAGGCATTCCGTCCATAGCCTGTTAATAGCCTGTATGCTGTCTGCACCCTAATCCATGCYTTTGCACAGTCACATGAAACCCACCATATTGACAATAGTCCCTTTAGACCATTGTCATACTCGGACCCTTCTCAGCTTCCAAACGGAAAATCAAAGTCTCTRGTTGCCGGATACAAATGAGTCTTTGATTTGATTGGTTCAAAAATTTACCATGCACCATCTGCATTTACATATGACCCAGATTCTGGGTCCTCCGTTTTCTCTACAACGTCCAGGAGGAGACGACGGGGTCTGTTCTYCTAAATAACTGTTYTYGTATGAATTTTTCCYTGGGAAAAGGATTTTTGAGGCTACATTGTTGACRATCTCACAAGCAAATGTGGCGCCCTTCCTTCTTGAAAKAATTTTGTTCCCGACCAACTTTTTTTTAAAACGTTWTTTGGTCAAAAACGCCTTTTGTTTTGATCTTCCTGGAGACTACAGGAAGTGACAAACAAAAACTTTATTATAACAGAMAACAACTACACATACCTCCTCCCAAATAAGGTAATGGCTGAGAAAGCAGCCAATTTCACCCATGTTTAGTGGTCTAGAATTAAGACATAAAGAAATCGTTACTCATATTGACTTTTTCCACCATTTACTTGGTAGTTGAATTGTGAGATGACAATTAAATACCCTYGATGCCATTATCTTTGAGGGCCCTGGAAAACTGGAAACTAAGCTGATTTGTAACAAGTTGTCCATGGTTATAATCCCAATCACTTTTCACTTTTTTTATATAGAATTAAGTCCTCTCCAAATCTTAGATGACRCTGATATCTTTTCATATCATTTTGGAACCATACTATTTTAATCTAGCCTGCAATATAGCAGCACTTAAAAACCGCTGTTATATATAGTATTTACAGCAGTTCTGGTTTGACTGCACGCAGGTAATTTCAATCCCTTGTGACCTTTATAGAAAAAGAAAACAATATAAATACCTGTGACTGTATGGATCTTCATACCCAGGTAACATCTTGATTCCCATTTCTTTAATCTGCCGATTTGTCAATGTCCTACAAAATAAATCACAAAGTAAATCACATTTCTGTGATTTTTGAAAATGTGCAAACTTCAAAGGTGTTTCTACTCCTGTCAATCAAGCTCGCCCCTATGAAATTCTTACTTGCCATCAACTGCATCTATGAATTTTGCTTTTATCCCTAGCTCTGCCAAGGAAGCCACCATCCGCTTTCTTCTTAAAGGACGTCTCTTGAGATTGATTACATAGATCTGTGATCACACAAGCAAGTTTCCTAGTAAATTTCTAAGTTTGTCAGCCAAGAGGAAACGCCTGGCCAAAAATGGAAGAGAGCTCAAATGAAGTCAGATGGTCTATAATATATAGAGCAGATTTCATAGCCTGTTATGTGTACATCATTTCCCACCCGTTCCCCCTGTGGGAAAATTTTGGGAGAAATATTTCATGCATGGGACGGGTGGGGACAGGGTTAGGGTTTAAACTCAGAGCAATCGAAGAACTATTGTAGGGGAACGATCTGTCACTCACTCAGTCACTCACTTTCCTGTAAAATGCATCGGTGAAAACGTAAGCTTACATGAAGCTTCTCAAGTATCTCCTTGAAAAAGCAGCTCTCGCAATTTCCGAGTTTGTTGTCATTGGCAGCTTGATTATCTTYTGTACTACTTCAATGTGTGTTTCCTCAATCTTAAAATCTATCTATCATTAATTTAAGTCCCTTTTGGGTCCAGCATGCATTTCTGGTACTGGGTTAATTTCAGATTTAAGTCTTGGTCATCATTATATGTTCTTACCTCATCAAAAACCAATTTATCTTTCTTTTTGGGCTTGATGCTAACGTGAGGGCTGACAGCCATCAATGTGCCTGGATGATCAACTAAAGAATTGGAATTTGAAATACTGCATGACTATTTGTACAACCTTACTTTACCAGTCATCTCACCCCATTGCCATCTCGCCCCCACTATGCCATCTTGCCCCCACCATCTCGAACAACAACAACAACAGTTGCTGTTTGAATAAACAAGCAAGTGCATTCATGACTTGTTCCTGATATGTAATAAGAATTACATGAAATAACATTCTGAAATGTGATATGTGAACTAATGGATAATATATAATATTGTGGCGAGATGGTGGGGCGAGATAGCACAGTGGGGACAAGATGGCATAGCGGGGGCAAGATGGCAATGGGGTGAGATGACCGTAAGACCAACCTTATACTACTGATAATTTTCTAGTCAAACGTCACCTTGGAAGGCAACTAGTCTGGTTTTGTAATAAGTCGAGGCKGCAGTTGAGCTACCTCAACTAAACTAAGCTACATGTATATTGAGCTGACTTACTCTTGAACAGCWAGACAAAATTCATATCCACTAGAAAAAATTTTGCCAGAATATYGGGTTTCAATCTGGACTTGGAATTCTGGCTGGAATCTAACTGGAATCAAATAGTGCCAACCAMGGCCACCCATTTGGTCTTAAAATAATGCCACCTTGTCTTGCGCATAGTCAAGTAGCAATAAAAATAACAGCCATTTTATAAAAAATTAAATGCACATACATGTCGTCTAGCCTTACCAAAGTATTCTAGTTTAGCATCTGTAAACATTATCTGCACCTCTTCTAATGTTTCTTTGTTTTCATAAATAGGCATCATATAACCATATACATCTTTGTTTATTAAATGGAGTTTGATCCCTGTTAATGTAGTAAGATGATTGTACAATTAATTACAATTAATACAACTCTA